GGTTGACACTTCTGAAATTTGTCACCATTACACCAGTTTAGGTTATCTTTGCTCAAAAACAGAAAATATAGCTTCAGTGCACAGGGGCTTTAGCATCTTTTGACAACTCACACTAGGAATTCACACTAATGGCTGAAGGGAGGAAGATCTAGTCTCTGCTTGAAATTGTTTAGTGATGCTTTCCATTGCAGAGAATTTAACTTTACTTAAGTTGTCATCAGTTGACAGTCCATCTCTCTATGCTTGGAACACAGTGGGCCTTAGCGCTGTCAGGCAAAGCTAAGCCTTTCTGTTTTAATGACAAGTTCCTGAGATAGGATCTACCTGCTGCCTTTATTGCTCAAGCATAAATTGCCTATGGTTAAATATTTGATCATTTAAGGCAGAGGTGACTCTTGGGGAGTTAATGTAAGAAGTAGCATACTGATAATACACCGAGTTCAAATGCATGTAAAAAGAACTGGTTAAACTAGGGCAGTACGATTTTAATCAGAACCACTTGAATTCCAGCAGTTTATTGCTTGGATCAAATTACATTGATTTGTAACTATTGTTATTGAATTATTAATTTTAACTAGAAATCATCAAATACTAACCTGTCCTTGAGTATTATGTTTTCCCTTTTATAATAAAAACAGGTATGTTCTTTTGTGGGTGCGTGGGGTGGGGAAGGGAGGAGGGTGAGAAAAGCCTTTATGATTTTAAAGTTATTTCTTTTTAAATTTGTATTTCAAAATGGTCGTATTTTCTGTATTCAACTTCATCACAGGAAGAAGGCAACAGATTAGGAAAAAAAGTAAATGCATAAGGACAACTTTAATGTAAATAACAATTATTAATACAAAAAGAGCATCCCCAGAATGTTGTTGAAAATCCTACTAAAGGAACCAGTTTTTAAATGAAATGTGGTATTTTATACATTGAGATACAGAGGACACTTAAAGTAGCACAAGTAAAGAATTGTAAAATTATTATATCTTTACTTTTCTCCTTGGTTTCTAGAAATTTAGATAGTGAGATGCTTTGCTGGAGGGAATGGTTCTGGCCTTCATTTGTGCCTGCTGACATCTGGCACGTTCAGATACTTATCCTCACATTTCAACTGTCATAGAACCTATTTATTCTTTTAACAGAATATGAACCCTTTAAACTCCATACAGCTGAGGGGTGAAGGAGTTGTGGGGTTTTTTTAGTATATTCCTGAAAAAAGTTTGTGCAGCTTTCAAAATGCATAGCGTGAAGTTTACACCTCTATCAAAAAATCATTTGTGAATCCGCAAAGAAGACTCAGAGGACTAGTAGTATTTCCTTAAAACGTAATGTATTTTTACATCCTGATTAATTTTTACTATTATTTCATTAGATGAAATTTGAACTCGAAATTTACATTTCATATACAAGATCCATGTATTTTTTTCTTCCTGTAAGTTAAAACTGTTCAGCAGGATGTACAGTCTCTGGGTCCTGTGAGCAAACACTTTCCACGTTGGAAAGCCTCTTTCTGTGGCCGATGAATATGCACATGACCACAGAGATTGGCCTGAACTTGTAGTCCATGGGCCAGAGCCCTGTGTCCCTAGAGCAGAAAAAGGTGTCATATAGGTCTGTGATGATAGCTTTTCTAGAAAAGACATTTCTCAAATTGTTAGAAAAATATTTTATGCATAGTGTTGTGGGTGCTGTAGCTTATCCAGTTCAGATTGGCATTCTAAGCGTGATATCAGTAACCTCTGCTGAAGTGATGCTAGAGGACTGTGAACTTTTGAGTTCTCAGCCTTCAGTTAATGCTGGCAAATAGGAAAAGTAATCTTTTTCCCCAAGTGTCAAGACAGTGGGAAGCTGCTGTTGGGAGGGGCAGCAGCAGGGGCACAGCACAGGCAGCTGGTGCAGGAGGAGCAGTTCTCACGCACTCTCTGTCTCTCTCGCACAAATGTCATCAGCTGGTGGTAGGAGTAGCAGCAGTGAGATCACAGGGGTGTATCTCACATGATTCACTGGAGTCCTGAGTTTGTAAACGTAGTAAAAAGAACAGACACAATTTCTGAAAGAAAGTAATCTCTAGGGTTTAATTCCCTGCAAGACAAGACTCCTTTTCTTTTGGAATTTTGTACTCCTCATCGGGGCGTCTTAACATTGCAGACACCAAGCTGTTGTGAGCATTCCCGTGGCAAAGCAAGTCCGTGGTTTGCCATGCACACAGCCTCATTGTTACAGACTCGCCGTGCTTTCATTTTCTTTGGTTTTCATTGCCAGACATGGAAAATAGAAACTACCCATTAGTGAATGTATTTCCTGTCCTATTAAAATAAAGAAATCACTGTTGATAGTTCTCACCTTGGTCTTGCCAATATTGATTTCCATTAAAAATACAAACCCTACCTGATACCCACCACACACAAACACACACATACACACCTTACTCCACAATACTTTACTGCTTTGGAAAAGTTCTGGATTGATATCCCAAGACAATGAAGTCTTCCACCTGTAATACCTGTCACCAGCAACATTATTTTATCTTTCTTAACCAATATGTCTGAATTGTAATTGAAAAGAGCATAGGTTTTGTTGGTGGCTCAGATTTCATACTCACTTAGACAGAAGTAACAGCATCAATGCCAGTATTACACTGATCTCCAGCTTGAGACAGCGTTCAAAATACTTCTCTGTATTTACTATTTTGTGCATCACCATCAAATGCAAAATTTTTCAGATTCTCACTTGGACATTGTTCTACAAATACATATGCATTTGGTTTGCATTAACTTGAATGGCATCACCAAAGAAACTTGGGTTAATCACATTTCTGTTGGGTCTATGCTTAGAGTTTTCAGAATAAAATAAATATATAAAAGCTTTATTTTAATATTTATGGCCCAGATGGCATCCAGCATTCACACATAGTATTAATAATCTGTTATAGCAGCTGTTTTATATCCTTGATAACAGTGGGATTAAAAAGGACAGTAAAAGCATCTTACAGAAAGGTATGAACTAATAGTCATATGGCACACATCCACTAAATTAATAGACGGGAAATTGCTTGCTGCAGGTGACAGCTTTTACTCTTTCATTTTCTTAAATACTTGTTTTCATTATTCTTCATGAAAGTTTGTTTTCAGCAATTGAATCTTTTGACATCATCAGTACCAATAATTCAGTGACAGAAGATACCAGTTCATATGACTGTAAATTTCAGTCTGGTTTTGTACTGATCTATAATAAAGAGACTTATTTGTGACATAAATCATATTGATATAAATTTGGCCAAGTTTGATTCAGCTGGTTGGTGTGCTACCGTCACTCTTGACCTCTACTGCTAATTGTAGCTTACCATGTCCATTTTCGTTGTAGCATAAGGGCAAACCACTTGTCAAAATGTTCTGAAGTGTTTTATTGAAGTTGCTTAAAGTTCAATTTATTGTTGCATCGAGAACAAGACCCAGGAGTATAAAAGCTGAAAGAATTCCCTAGAGTTCTGAGGATTCCCAGCAGTTCTTTTTCTTTGTACTTTCCACTCATAAAGTCTTACTTTGTGATCACAAACCAAGCAGATTCCATTTTAAAGCTTGTAATGATGTGGACTCACTTCCTTAGCAGGTGTTAGAGTTTGATCAAGTGATCAGAAACAATCTGGTAAATGCAATGTAAGAACCTTTCAGCTGCAACATGGTAACTGACTGTGTGCAGTCTTGCAGTCTAGTTTAGTACAAGTAATACTGGTTCACTTAAACAACATTCCTCTTCCAAGTACCTTTCAGCATTGTTAGACATTTTGCAAACCCCCGCTTTACTTGCCAGAGCAAGAGGGTTGTGAGTGTGCATGTAGTTATTTGGCTCAGCTGGCAAAATGATAGCTTACATCTGGAGGCAATAGCTTCCTGAAACTCAATGGCCTGCTCCTGTACTGAAAATACTTATATTTTAAAGAGAGTCTTCCTTACTCAAGTATGAAGTGTCACAGTCAGAAAAAGATGGACCTTTCATTTTCTAAATGACTGCTCAAATTCTAGTGGGAGGTGTCCCTGCTCACAGCAGGGGACTCAGAACTAAATGATCTTTAAGGTCCTTTCCAATCCAAACCATTCTACGATTCTGTCCTATTCCATTTCTGGTATAATTTATACTGTAAGGACACAACAGCTGCCATGGATTACAGTATTGATGGCCACACTATTATGAATCTCTTCTGGTCCTGACAAACTGCTTCAGTACAGACTGTGAAAAAGGCATTGCTCTCTGAGGAGCTATGTACTGTTTACACAATACTTAAAATCACAGTTTTACCCATATTGGATTCAAAGCTTTCGTATTTTGCTATGCTCTGCCACAGCAGGCTGTTAAATTCACCCATCAAGTTTACTTTTGCTATGAGTCTTACTTGTCTTATTGAGTTTCTCATTTTACATTTTCTAGATGCTGTCATACCATTGCAGTATGTCTTCTGGAAAAATCCATGTTGAAGTGAAATAATTCGACTTTCATACTACAGTCAGAGGAAATTTTAGAGTTTTTAAAATAAAAGTTTGGATACAATAAACTTTATTCTGTCAAATCCTATAATTTAAATGACCTCTAAATGCTGTAGCATTTCCGGGGTAATCAAACTCTGGAAGGTCAATGGATCACTGTACGCATCAATTTCTACTCCCAGTTCATGTTTTACATTCCACTAACAGAACGTTTTCTGGAGAACTGCTGATGCTTGAAAAATACAATGGAGAATAGCCACTTATTTTGTCTTTCCATTTTCATTTTGAAAGTATCTATCTTAAAAACTTGAGTGAGATGCTGTGCTTGTTAAACTTCACTTACTGAATAAAACTAGATCCAGAATCCTTTGACCCATTCTGCTGTGAAAGAGAGGACCATCTTTGTCACAACTGTGAGACAGTTTATCATTTTCTCTGCTGTTCTTATGGTTATATGTGATGGTAATATTGCTCATATTCCCTGATTTGTGAGGCCTGTCTTTTGTGTGTGTGTGTGTGGATTTACAGCTTGCAGAAGTAGACTCCAGAGCTGTACATCTTGGCGCTGTCTTGGTTCGTGGCCTTACAACGTTGCTCATGGCCAACAGCGCCTGTGGCTTTCCATTCAGAATGGATGATTTGATGCCTTGGACAGTGTTTGATGGAAAACTTTTTCAAGAAAAATACCAGCAGTCGCACCGAGGTTGCTCTGTGGAAGAGCTTTTGGAAGGCAATGTGAGTAACCACATACTCTTAGACATTTCTGTATTCTTTGAAAAAATGTACCTGCCCATTTACTTCGTTGTTTTAATATTCATGTTTAAACTGTTCCCCTTTCTTTGTATTTTTCTTCTCTCTTATTCCTTTTTCACTCTCTCCACAAAAAATAATTAAAAAAACCAGTAGAAATACTGAGCCTATGAAGAGAACTGTAATTTTACCTTTATTTTTGTTTCCATTACTCAGAAAATAGTATAAGGAAAATGGTTGTCAAGTTCAAGGTTTCCTAGTACTGAGATATTATTGAGATCTTTTTCCTGTAAGATTTTAGGTAACATAGTAAGAACATCTTTAAATAAGCACATTGGATATAATTTTTAAAGTATTTAAGAGTGATATTTTCAAAGGCATTAAAGAACCTAAAGTTTGAGGTGAAGGTTTGGTAAATTCAAAGAGGAACTGTAAATCAGAAGAAGGTGTATATTTAGGTATTTTTTTAAACTCTCACCAAGTACCTTCCCGTACCTCTGAGTACTTTGGTCCTCAGTCCCAATTTATCTTACAAATCTGGGGATTTGTAAGATTTACATGCTATGTTACCAAAAAACCAGGGTGACTTCAAACATGTCTGGGCAGAAAGGTGCTATCAGAGTCCTGCTCAACACAATGCATTGCAGTGGCATTATGTCTAGGCTCGGAGGTAGGGTCTGCTAGACTGGGTGCAGGACTGTATTGATGCGTGAATAAAGTCTCAAACCAGACCTGGCTCATGCCCCATCAGCACAGAATTTGTGGAGAGATGGTTGGGTAGGTCTGTACTCATCAGTGAAGGTAACTCTGAAGACCTTCAATTAATGTGCCTCTTTTCATTGTGGACTTGAAAAGCCCGTATCATTTAATTACTTTTGAAAATCTTACCTTTGAAATGTTTTAATCTGCTATTGAATATATCACTTGAGGTTAAAATAAAGTAATTAGAGAGAAAAAATATTTCAGTTTTGATTTATGTTAATCTCGTGCATTCAATGCCAGTTGTTGTATAGTTTTCTTTTATAATTTTATGTCCAATTGCATACCATGCTGGTCTGGAGTGATGAGTGGAACACTTGTGGGTGGGTGGAATGAATGTGTTTTTAGCATGAAGGAGAAGAATAATCCTTTCCATATGTATTCAATCATATGATTAGGACCATAACTTCTTTCCAAGTCCTCTGGTTCCTATTAATTGGTTGGTTGATTTCAGTAGATTTTGGATTGGGACAATGGTTCACCCAGTTTTTCATGCAAGATTTTGCAGAACAATAGATGGTTTAGAGAATAGATAGGAAAATATAAAAAGTATCCAGATCTGTGTGAAATTGATACTTCTTTTCCATTTGGGTAGAATTCAGGGTAGTGGATAATTTTGACAATACATATCTAAATCTGTATAAGACATATTAATTGAGATAGGTATTTTTAAATGTGTTAGGTAGTATGTTTTAGCTAACATTTGAAAATCTTGGTGTGGTAATGTTTGAGCTGTATTTTATCCTGTTTTATAACAAAGATGAAGAAAGATGATTACTTCCCTAGAACAGAGTTAGAAATATGCTTGATCAACTAAAATATCTAGGTTAGGGATTTTAAAAGCCTAATGCTCTGTTTTACACAAACCCCAGATAAAGTGTTCTGTTGTGAGGAAAAAATACTCTAGCCACGTGAATTTTTAGAGTAGTTTAAATATCTTTTTCTTTTTTAGGTACAATTTTATGGTACATATATGGCAGAGATATGTACCCAGACTAACAAAATAGCTTTCCAGCTTATCAGTTTGAGGCAAGAATCTGTTTTGAGGCAAAGTGCCAAGAGATGCCAATTTAGCTGGGAACACTGGCAAGGCAGCAAGCATATGTGATTGGTTTTTCCTATTAAGTTCAATTTTAATAAATAAAAATGGTACTTAGTTCCTGGCAGAGCTTAATGTACTGCTGGAAGCCAGGATCTTTCAGCACTTGTTTGTTAGCAATCTACCCTTGAGCACCATAGATATAATCTGGTGATAGTGATAGCATTGTATTCAGAAAAGAAGTTATTCTGCGTGGGATGTTTTGTTATAGAAAATATAAATAATAGGAAAAAGTTATTCCTTTTGTTGTTCAGTGCTTGTCTCCTAACTCCTAAGGTCCCTTCTCTATGACCTGGACAGTTATATTACTTTGGAAACTTCAGGCAATCTCAGAATAAGTGCTGTTTTGACTACAATGGGCTTAAAAAGAGTTAATAGCTTTCTGAAAATTACGGTGGAAATACAAATATTTACATGTATATCAGAAATTTTGAACATTTTAGGGTTTGCTTCCTGCAGATTCTTGTACCCAAAGAATGTATACATTAAGTACAGTTGATATATTTGTGGGCAAGTTTTTGTGTGACTCAGCTCTTTGTAACCTAGCAGCTGTTAAAGATAAAAAATGGGCAGCTTTGGATAAGAATAAAAAAATAGAGCCATCTTGCTTTTTTTTAAAAATATGCTAAGCTCACATTATGCTAGTTCTCTGTTTTTCAAAACAGTAATCATATTAGTTTCTTTATCCACACAGAAAATTGGATATAATAGTCTCATAAAGCAGTGAGGCAATGATATTATCACTTTATTAGCCTTTTTATTGTGCTTCTCACTAATGAGTATGTTTATAATTAAGTTTTTAAAATTAAAACCAAATTACATAATGGGGTCATCATAAGTGATATGTTTTGTTCTTTTCTGATCATGCCTTTCATCCCACCTTCATAAACATATTCTGAATTTGTTCTCCCAAGAATAAAATGAAAGGTTTTTCCCATTAGAGGGTGTTCTTCACAAACTGGACTCAGCTTGTGTGGTAAAAAAAAACCCCAAACTTGTGAGTTTTGTTTAAGTCTCTATTAACTCAAAAAATGTAGTTGGGAAGTTCACAGCAGGGTTCAGGGATTCAGACTCTAATTTAAGAAACCTCTCTAATTGCTGCAGTCTTGCTACCTATTGGATTTTTTACCTTCTCGCATCATCTTCTTCCCTCCTGCCTGCTCCTAAAAAAGGCATTGTTATCCCGTAAAAATCTGTTCCGTTTTATGAAAATCACAAATTGCCCTATCACTCTAAAGTCTCTTTTCATAATTCTCTTTACTGTATACTAAAATTCCACATGCTCAGTACAAATCAGGAGAAAAAAAATACATTCTGAGACCTGTCACTTTTTCAAAGCTCACAGAAATCAGAGCAAGTTAAGGATATTTCACATCTCTCAGTGTTACATCTTTAAATAGCTTCAGCTTTTCCTTTTCACAGTAAAATTTTTCATCACGTGACAAGGTAAACATTTTTATTTAATTCCTCCATTTCTCTTTAGACTTAGTTCTATTTTATTAGTCAGGAGTCAGGGCTGATGTATTACTGTTGGGTTAAGTTTTGTTTCTAACATATGAGATTAAGAGACTTTGATTTTAACTGGTGTATTTTCCATGAGTTCATCAGTCCTTATCTGGAACCTTTAACCATCTCTTCCTGAGGTATTGCTGATAGAAGTCTAGTTAAGTATATCTACACGTACAAGGCAATAGCATAGGAAGGTAAGTGATTTACAGACATGAGCAGAGAAGAAAAACAAACTTCACTGAGAAAGCAGGAAAACACTTCTTCTGCACCCCTATTCATCTCTCCAAGTATCCACTTTTAATGTTAAATGTTTGAAATTTACTTCCTGAAAAAATGTGAACCAGATCTACCATCTTCATGTATGCATGAGTGTGGCTAAGACAAGTCTTTTAGTTGTTGTGTATGTGTTTGATTTGTGCTACACTTGAAGAAAGATGAGCAGAACAGTCATTGATTTTTAACCCTGTTGTTTGCAGGAGTCTTTGTATACACCCTTCCAGAATCTGAAGTCTTTCATTTGCAAGGTTTGCATGGCAAAGAAAAGAGTGATACAGAGCAGACCAAGAGGGAATGGATATAACGCAGGTTGGCATTGTGTTAATTTTCTCAGTAAAATTAATATATTGAGTTCAATTATCCTTCAACAGCAGCATCAATTACATAGGCATCCCATCAAGCTAAGTAAATTGTAAGGTCTTTCTCCAAGAAACCAAAGGAGAGATCTTAGAAAATATTTCCCTTTTTAACAATTCATGTGAATATAATTAACCAAGTTTAGATAGAATAATATTTCCATCTAGCTACATAGTTAGTGAGATATATGCAACAAATATCATTCATTGAGAGAAAAATAACTATTTGCTCTGAGACTAAAGTTATTTTTATAGGAAGAATTAAATGACTCAGACCTTTTTCTTCCATTCTCTCAGGGGAGCTATTTTAACATTGATAGTTGAAGGTCTGAGTAAGGCAATGAAGAGAGAATACTTTTTATTGGACTCAGTGATATGGTTCAAACTATAAGAAAGCAACCCGGAGAACTGTGTTGTTTTGTTTACAGCTTTGCTTTTTTCCCCCCAGCTTTATGGCTTGGTTTGCTAAAGACATTTGCTTTCCCTATGTGATCTACCTGATTTTCAGGGGGAAAAAAAACATCTGAAAGGTTTTTAGCATCAATCACAGATCAGCCTTAATATTGAGGCTTTTGAGACTTCAAAATAACTTACCCCAATCTCATTGTTTATGCTTATATTATGTTTATTACTTGCTTAGTACCTGATCAAGTATAATGTCTGTGAGGATAAAAATTACCCCTTGAGAATTTCTTGAGCAAATTACAGCAGACAGAATGTTTTTCTGCTAGTTCAGTACTTTGTATTATACTTCTGGTGCGGTACTACACTGTGCTGGTGCTGGACATTCAAAATTAAGGATATCTGTTGGTGATTTATAGTACCAGACCTTGTTAGCATCTGCTTTTCTTTGAGAGCTATACTTAACCATTTTAATTATGATTTGTGATTCCAATTTGGACAGAGTTTTCTGTTTGGTTTAATGACTGCATTCTCTGAATCTATGTCATAAAATTTTGATCTGGTTTCTAAATACACTTGTTAACAGCTTGTAATCGTGATGAGCATAGATGGAAATGAGGACAAGAACCACACTTACTAGGCTGACTTTAGTTTGGAAAAATCATAATTGTGCATGAGTATTTGGCATAAAACTAAGAAATATTGTTTCCTGAAAAATATTGTTTCTTCATTTAATCCTATATACTGTCAGAGTTGCTTAGTAAGTACTGTTTTTCAGGGAGAGAACAAAGAGATTTTAATCCCAGATTCCAACAACCACGCAGAAGTCATTTTGTTTCTCCATATCATAACCAGATGAGGGGGTTCGTACAGAGAAATCCTCAATCACAAGGTAAAAATGTGTGCACATTTGTGTTTTTGGAATTGTCTCTATCAACAATATAAAAGCTCTGTGTCTATATGCAGTTACCCTGTGGCTACAGAAGTAAATAACAAAACTTACATCATATTTGTGTACTACCATCAGGAAAATCTAACTCTGCAGGGTGAGGTAGAGTGTAGCATTATGATCTCTAGTCATCTTTTACTCACAATGTTCTGGGAAAAAAGCTTTCATGTGGTATTTATAAGTTTCATGCTTGGTCTCAGCTGAACCGTGTTTAAAATTGTAATAGTTCTAAAGCAAATTGGCACAGCTGCACAGAAATGTTTGTCTGAAGTCTTTAGCTGCATATTTTTGTTCATACTTCAATAAAACACTTAAGCATATGAATAAAGTTAAATACATTCTTAAGTGCTTTTCTAGGTCAGAGTTTCAGCTTCCAGGTCACTCCCTGAGTGAAACAAATGGATGTTCTGTCTTGCTTTGGCATTAATCTTAAGTCATTCACCAGTCTCACTTCTTGAACAGACATTTCAATGAAGCATCACTGTGGATAGCACTGTTGAGCTGACATAATTCAGTTCTACTTCCTCGTTACTGTGAGTTGAAGCACATAGACATAAATTAAAGAAAATAAACAAAAGTAAGTGCAGTGTCTAAGAAACATCAATTGTTTTATTAAGTATGCAGAGCCTGGATTTCTTTTGTGTTTCCAGGTGAGGTTTTCGAAGAAGATTGATGATATGATTAGGGAAGATAAATAATAAATAAATACAGTGAAGTCTTTAATGTGTTTCAACTGCCACTGTTGAATACTTGCTACCATTTGATTCACAAATAAGATTGTTCAGTCCTGTATGTAAAATGTAAAGCTAAAATATAGAGTATGTATGCTGACCATAAGCAAAACCAAAACTGGTCATTGTTATGAGTTCTCGACCATCTCAAGAAACCTAATATTCAGAGGTCAGATCATCTCTGACCAGCTCCAGAGATCTTATAACTAGATGGATTCCACAAAATATGTTCCAGAGTAACTGTGCTTCAGTGTTATAAATGTCTTTCAGTAGCATTATTAAAACATCATGGCTTCTACACTGGCCCTATTTCTTACCCTCAGGACGCTCTTAAAATATAATCCCATAACTGCAGTTAAATTGCCTCTGTTAGAAGTTAAACAGATTTATTGGAAAAATACATCTGTCCTTACAAAAGAGCCCTGCAATGCTTTAGAGCTCCTTTTAAACTGATCTCCCAACATGATTCATTTTAACAAAATTCCTTTTTCCTAAGTTGGCTAATATTAGCACAGGTATTTGGGTTGTTTCTTTATGTAGCTGATGTCTCTGCTGTATGTGTCTCACCAAAGAGAGAAAAAAGAACAAAAAAAGTGGCCATTTTATGTTCATGGTAGCTTATGTTATAAAACTTCCTACTAATATTACTTATATCTGCATCTCCCACTCTTTATGTACCTTCTCATGGTATACTGTTATATGGTTCCTGCTGTTGCATATGATATATCAATCATTGGATTAAATGCATTAAAAAGTAATGGAACAGTAACCACAGGACCCATATCTCCCGTATCAGGAGAATAATAATGATTAGGCAGCCTTTGCTCTTTCTTATCAGTTAATGTTTAAGAATTCCATGACTGTCTCAACTTCACCAGTAAAGAGTGCTTTTACTAGAGAGCATCAACCTGAGAAGCACTGGTATTTCTCTGAGATGATGGCTTGAATCCCCTCAGGCAGAACAAGAATTGCATTTAGGCATCCCTCATTGGATGGTGAATAGTAAACACTGAGCTGCTGTAATTTACAGCTCATTCTCTAGCTGTATTTTGAATGTAGGGATTTCAGCTGGGGGAAGGGGTTGGGTTTTGGGAGGGTTGGGGTTTTTTTGATTTGGTTTGATTTTAGTCATTTAACTTCTCTGTAAATTTCTTGGCTGTGTGTTACAAAGGGATAAGAGCATATCCGTATAATTCAGAGCAGGACAACTAAGCCTCACAGGGAGGATTTTCCCTTAGTATTTCTTATTTGATGATTTATGGATTCTAGGTTTGTGGCTGCAACACCACATCACAGGCCATATAGACTATTGGTAGGTAAACTTCATTAATTAGACGACCACTAAGTCATTTTTTGCATCACATTGTTATCTCATTCTACAAAAACCTAAAAATAAAGTGAGCATTAAGAACTGTGGAAATCACTGTGAATTATCATGTGTCTTTGCTCTCTTCAACAGTCCAGCTGTTAAACACTGATATTTTGTGTCATAGCATACAAATTACCACTTAGATCTAAATCAGCATACAAAATATAACAAAAAAAAGAGACTGAATAAGTAAATATAACCTTATCTATACTTTTACAGCTGTATTTTAAAATTTCTGTGATGTGTACAATGGTTCTCGCACTAATATTTTGAAATCTGCCGAAAAGTGAACTGAGGGCAAGGGAATGAGATAGGAGAGAGAGTGTCTATGGGTGTAGCTGTAACAGCTACATGAATGGTTAAAATCAAGGATACCCTAATAATTTAGAAATAGTAGAGGATGTTGGAAATTATATAGAATTTCTGCAAGTGGTAAAATAAACATCATAACTCTCTGTATGAGGGGCTCAAGGGAGGGATCATAGTGAGTAAGAGCTTGCAGAGTGCTAGAAGTAAGAGATGATAATTGTAGCTACCAGTCATCTACCACCAGACTCATAAACAGTGAGATGGGGACATCATGAAGCATTCTGACAATTTCATACTTGCATTTAGACGTTGTTGGATTTTGGGGGTCAACTCTATTCTACCTAAGAAAACCCTGTTCTTTAAAAAAAAAAATTAGTTTTGCTTCTTTGTTTCCATCCATCTTTGCTGTATTTTTCTTCCATCTTTCTATTAAAAAAAAAAAAGAAAAGTGGAATTGGGCAGCTTTTTTGTTTTTAAATAATTGAAAACCAGAACAAGGTCTTGAAGAAAAGCTTTTATGGAGCATTGAAAGCAGTTTTTTGGGGGAAACAGAAGATGAGTGTCAAGGAAAGAGGGGAAAAAAATTGTGAGAGGTGTGTCTCACTGAGAGAAAATCTTTTGTCCAAGACAAAAAGGAATTATCGAGATTTCCATTTCTTCATGGAATGTAATTGCATCAAGAGGGTACATTCACATCAGTCTTAGCACACTGTAAAACATGTAACAGGAGACAATGCAAGCGAGCTCTCATTTGCAAGATATTTAGTCAAGGCTTCCACACTTGTGTTGCATACTCTGTGTTCAGTCATGTTTCTGATTAATAGGATTTTGATAGAACTGTAATGCAGATGGAACTTGGTAGAACTTCAGTGCTGAAAAAAAAAGATATAATTTACAGTGTACTACTTTGCTTATAGGAATCTATAGCTAAAGCAGAATTGTACACAGGCACACTTAAACCAGTATGAAAATATCTTTAAATATAGCTCTGATGTCTGGTTCTAAATAGTGTGTTTTCCTTTCCTGAATTCATACAGTCTTATCTACCAGCCACAGTGTATGACCCTTATGACTCACTATACCAACCCATTAATTGGTCTAGATTTAAAAGTTACAGTCACCCAAGAGTTTTAAGAAAAGCAATGACATCATGGACTTTATCCTCCAACATCTCAAAATGTTAGACAGAATTATACACCAACTGGACAGGGACATGTACTTTTTTCAAGATATGTATAAATGTAATTTTTTGGGGGGGCTACCTGAATAAGCTCTTGATTTCCTGCTTTAATGTTCATTAAAAATGTTTAATTCATCTCCTCCTTTCTCCAGGTGGAGGATCAGGACAACCAGACCGGAGGAGATTTCACCTTCCTCCTCGATAAAGAGTACATGTCTACAGGTGGCAAACTGAGATGATGGGATAGTTACCTTTGAGATAATTTTTGTTTATGAGAGCCTCTTTTTATGAACTTTGTACAAATAACTGAACCACGTAATTGTGGAGGAAATCCCTCAAAGCTGAGGCTGTTCACCTTATTAATCAGTTTTCATGTTTGCTCTGTTTTTATGAGACCAGAATCACTAAAACTTAAGTTACAGATACCTGAGGCACATTAACATCCCAGTACAGCTCCATGGTTTTGTCCATTAGATAATAGAAAGTCTGAAGTGTTTTTTACAACACTGTTAGATATTTCTGAGTGTAAATTTAGGACCTAAACTATTATTTTTGCATATTTTTGTTATATTTGTTTATCTTACAAGACTTTCCCCACTGTGAATAATGTGTCATGTTCGTGCTGTATGTGGTTTGTGTCTTAATTGTGGATTATATCTGTATCTTAAGGGTTATACCATTGTTACTGAAACCTGTAGAAAAGTTTGAAACATGCCATCACGGATGTAAGCATCATCTGCCAGTGAAACAATATCACCTTTTTGTAAAAATGTAACTTTCTTACAAGAGACAAAAATTGCTATTACATTTGGTACTTCCAGTTAAACTACTTTTTCTATCTTTGTCAACTGAGGAGAGAAAGAATCTGTCATGTTTTACTTCTGTAATGAATAATACTTATGAGAGCTCGATATTTATTTTCTGTCCAGAATTCTAATTCGAACACCTATCTTCAGAATTATTTCTTAAAAATTGATAAATTTCACTTTGTTATTCAATTTCAGTGATATATGTATTTCTTTAATTTTAAAATTAATACATTTTAAATATTATTAAAATGTGATTATTCACTTAATGTTGTTTCTTTGGCCTTGTGCAGGTAACTTCTTGAATCAACTCTCAGTGGAACTTAGTTCCTGTTTAGTATACATTAGGTCCAAGTGAATAATATTGTCAGACACACATAACTCCATGCTATGATTTCCTTGCATGTATTTTTCTGTTTGTAATCCAATAAATACATTCTTTTGTACTTAGCATACAGCAACAATCCAACTAAAGAAATAAGCAATACAGGATTTCTAGTTCTATTGAAAGTTTTAACAGACTCAATTTTTGTACAACACAGTGTATAAATCCTTTGCGTTCCAAGGTTCCCGCCATGATGGGGTATTCCTGCTTCCTTTTTTGATTGATTTGTCACTGACTGTAATTGTACTATCATTTTTTTCTTACCCCCCCTCACCCCTGAAACTTTTGGAATAATATGGTCTGAGTTTTATGGAAAGTTCTCTAGTTTCAGAGATCTCATGATATATAATGGTGTATTTGAAAAGAACGTGATTGTGTGCCAGAATTTGTTGGTAATTCCCCCTTCAGGATTTGATATGAGAAAAGTTTTCTGTTGGCCTCAATAAATGAAGTTAAATACAGCTAGAGTGGGAGTTTTGCTGTGCTAGCTGTGGTATGCTGTGAATTGTTGGTAATAATTACCCTGACTACTGAAGAATTGATAGTGTCTCTGCAAGAGTTTTTTCCTTCTTAATGTTAGACCATAAGCAGAAGCTGCTTATTATTGTTTCCAAGCCAAAATATTTTTTCCCACGAGGAATTGTAGAGTGAAAGCATAAGCACGAAGTCGAAACATAGAGGTGCTACTTTCCTTTCTCACTGCGCTTTGAATTGTTCAGAGTACCATAAAGCTTATGGGCTCTAGAAGGAAATCATAGACAAGAATATGACCTTAGAGCTCCAGTCTTTATCCAGTCTAATAGGATTTCCTTAAATTTGGACTACAGGGTTGTTTTGAGTGGTTACAGGACAGGGGAAAAACAGGCGTGGATTTGAAGTCATGTGCGTTTGTGAAGAAAAGCGTTCTTGTTCAGCTGTACTGCTTACAATCTTCCCTAGCCTGTGCACTGGGTAGCTGTCATCCAATGTTCACTGAAACTGTGGATTGATTTATTAGCTTTATGTGTTCCCCTTCAGGAAAGGGAATCAGAGAATATTCTATAACATCAATAACTTAGTCAACTGTGACTCAGCAGAAATTGTAACATAGTCATTGTGAAAGCAAGAATGACAGGAAGACATTTATCAACTTTTCTCTTTTTATGTATTATCTATCCTTCCTCTGACACTACTTTACTCATTTGCGACACCATTCCACTGGGAATCTGAATCTGGACTGCAGAAAACATGGAAACAATGAGATAATCCTATGATGCTGTGGAACTGTAAGCCTCAAAACATAGTTTATGCCTCTTTTATAAAACAGGAAACCACAGTTTTCATTGCTTTGCTACCTTAGCAAGTGTTGTGCTGAGATGGAGGGGAACATCAGTGTTAAAGCTCTACAGATCTTTTTGTGCCATGCTGTCTGAGCAAAATTATAAGGATACTGAAACATATGGTATTATATTGTAAAGGTGTTCTTTATTTAAATGTTGTGGAAGAAGATCAAAAGTTTACATATTCCTATTTAAACATTGACTCTCTCTTGTCAGCTAAGCTGGGAGGTGGGCTAGTATATGTCCTTCACTAGGAAGTTTGATGGGATATTCCTCAGCAGTGCAGAGCCTGCTTAGAGAGTATCTTTTGTTGATATAGAAGCACGGACAGCTCAGTAAATAAGCAGAAACCTTTGGCATGTTTTTGCCATATAGGCATATCGTGCTTGAGAGTGTAGGAATACCATGGCACTTTGTGAATCTGGTGAGGGTGCTGTTTTGGATACATGTTGATGACCTAGTAAGATTGCTCCTGAATGTAGGTCATTCAAACTGGCTGAGGTTGCTCAAGGTAAGGCTCAGTGATGGTGAGTATACAAGCACCAGTGTTTTCTGGTGTCCCAGGTGCAGAGGTGCCTGATAGCTGAATGCCTGCACCCCTGAATGCACTACCGGGTTCTCCTGTCCCTCAAGGGGTCTGGCTACCTGCAGCTGGGTAACCTTGGATCCAGCTGGTGTGTGAGAAAGACCTGTGTAAGAGATGTGAGAAGTCTCACAGGAGTCTCATGAGACCCTTGGCTCAAGAGCCCAGGGTTCATTTAAGCCCAGGTCCTTGCCCTTGGTGCTTGGTTAATCTACTTCGCAGGTATTCCTGTGTCCTGCCTATCTGATTCCACCTTTGCCTTGCTGATTTGACTTCCTTGTTTGACCTGCATGTCCCTCACCCCCATAGACTTGTCCAGTGACCACAGGAATATTATGTGAATCCGTTTACCATCATCAGACCTGCTCTGCAGTTCTACTGTGGAACTGAACCCTCACAAGTCAGAACTGAACCCTCACAAGCCAGTCATGGCACTACATTGCCATGCCATGATTGGCTTGCCTTCCCCTGTGGAGCAGGCCACCCTTGCTGCCCTGTGAGCCCTGACAGCACAGGGGGTCAGAAAGTTCAGCTGAAACTGTCATAGTAATTGGATGGTGTCAAAACAATAGATGTGGTCTGTGGGATTACTTGCTGCTGAAAACAGCTTGAAAAACTGAAAACGGCTACAACCAGCAAAGTGTCTTTGTGTATCTCTATACAATTAGGACCTTGCATTCTTTGCTCTCCTAGACCTTGCTGCTGACACCCAGACCCTTCTTACCCATAATTAGGCTACTGAGTACACCATGTTTCAACATTACACACCACAAATCTGAAGCTGCTTCAGAACATGGAAGCTTATTTGTTAAAGAGTATGTTCTTGAAACTGATAATCCTAGAGCTCCGCTGCCTTGTACCGCTTTTGAAGCCCTAGGTGGAAGATCAGGTGTTAAGTTAAACCTACGGTGTCTTGGCTAGGATGTTTTACCTGGAAGTATGTAGTTGAGACAACACATGATGGGTTGAAGAGTTGTCTGTAAAAGACAAAGAGTCAGCTGGCAGGGTATTCTGTCTGAGTACTCACTAGCCTTAATTTATTTAATCTTACTACAAAATTAAGGACTAGTATTTGTTTGTGATTTTGCAACTGGGAAAATAGGTCTTTATTGTATTAAAAACCCTCAGCCTCACAGTCTGGAATATTTGTTTATTCAAGTAAGGAAACCAGTTACTGACCCCGATCTTGTATGGAGTGCTGCTCATTGCCCACGTAGCAGTTACAGTAGTGCACAACTTAAAATTCATTAACACACCTGAAATTAGAGTGTAGACAGGATATCAGTTGCAGTAATTGCAACTTCTGTCTCCCATATCTCTATATACTACAAATAGGGAGGTAATTGGGGCCAAAGAAATGATCTGACTACAGAATTTCAGTTTCATACAGTGTTGTATTCTGCACTGCGTGTTCATGTTTGATATCAAGTTGTATCTTGTCAATAAACATCACCAAGAGACTCTCCTCTCCTTATTGATGATATTTGTGACTGCTGCTTACCAGTCTTTTGGAGATGAAGGACTGGATTTGCTGATCAGATGCAATCACAAACCTGAAAGTTTCACAGGCCAGGGAAGGACAAAACAGAATGCTAGGGATGGATGTATACAACATTTAATATTTCAAGGCTTTTAGCTTTGTGTTGGTTCTTATTTTCCCACAGTTAATCATTGGATCATTTATTGAATGACCTTTTATTGGTAGTGGTCACACAGATAAGCAGGGATATATTAATTCTTAATATAGTTAATTTAAGCATGATATTTTATATATATTGATACTTCAAATGTATTAATCTGCTCTTTTTCATGCCAGAAGACACAAGAAATACTAGGCACAGGAACCAATCCCAGATATAAGCTCTCTGAAAATGTTTGATAACTGCAGGCTTTTTGAGTATAGTGCCCCCTGTCTCAAAAATTAGGTAGCCAAGTGTGCGGCTGGCCTTTGGATTCTTATAGAGCAAAACTGTACTGAAAGAGCTGTTCTGATGTGTTTTCCAAATATGCTTTAGGGAGCTCAAAAATTCATTATTCAGCGAAAGCAATTATATTTTTTAGAAAAGTGATGAGAAACTTGCGTGTCATTTATGGTGTTTGGAAAACTTAGGTCAAGGTAACCATTCAGGAGTTACCTTCATCACATCCAGCTTTATTTTGGTCAAGGCTTTGTTTGTTAATAGCAGAGGCCTAACCGGCTCTTTTTTATTTTCTGATAACACTTTAATTTTCATTTGTGATGATGATGCAGCTCATATAAAAGGATGTAAGTGTATAATGTGCTGCCTTCTGATAATCATCTTTGCCCCCTAGTTTAATTACCCAGCAAATCTTTTAGTCCTTCTGATCTACATTCTGCTGGAGGGTTTTAAATTTCAGTGAAGTTTATCAAGGTTTGAGGCATGCTGGTGATAAAGCAAGACCTCTTGCTACATAATACACATATGAAGGATCACCACATTTAAATACGGTGATAAGACTGCCTCCGAATCTTGACCATCTCTGGGCAAATTGCAAAACTTCTCTCTTCAACAAAGCCTTCATTTTGTAGGCATGATTTAGTTTCTACTCTACCTTCCCTATGCAGAGGGGGGAGACTCCACAAAGGAGCAAATGGGAGAGGCTCAAACAAATCCACTGGCAACCTTGCATTTCCAGTCGAAAGCAGGCAGCTACAGAGCTGATGCACGGCAACACACAGCAAAGGTGGCCAATGCATCTAGACCAAAACTTCTAGGTTTTAAAAACAATTCAGAAACCTTGGGCATAGTGAATGTCCATCATGGTTGGAATACACTTAATGAAGGTTTGTTTGGGGTTTTTTATTGACTATCTGCATACCTAGGCTCATTTGGTAACTGTGTGACATCTCTGCAAGTCTTGACAGTGATTGTGGTTTATGTTTTAAATAAAGGCTACATTTTGAATGATTACTGAAGTTTTTTGAACAGAAGAAATAATAACCTGCAAATTTAGCCTTCTTTGCCTTCTTTTACTCTGATGAGGGAATTCTTTTACTTCTTTGCATTACTGATTGCTATATTAATTCTTGGCAACAAATAGTGCTGTAAGAAACTTTTGCTTCAAGCAAGTTAAAAAATAGCATCAAAGAAAAAATATTACATGCTAGTAGGAGACAGTTTGCATGTCCTAACACTTACTTGTTAGAGTAGGAAAGAAATCCAAATTTGTCATTGTGCATTTGTTTACACTAACGTGTTATTGCTTGATACCTCCACCATCCCTCTCCCTGACAAACACCTCCATCTGTCTGTAGAGAGAGCCAACCTAGCAAGGCTGATAGCTTATTGTTATAGAAACTGGGGGGGGAGGGTTGGGGGGAATAGAGAGGAGGGGGCAAAAAGAAGAAAAGAATTAAAGCTTTTCTTCTCTTGCTAGTGATCCAGGAGTGCAGTGATTCAGGGGGTTGTTAACTGCTCTGTGTAATGCTCACTAGAGGCTACAGCTGGTGCCACCTCACAGCATTTAGATTTTGAGAGGACAACTGTCCAGCCTGCTGGAGGATAAGATGCCTTTCTGTGTGCTGGATACATCTATCCTTCCAGTTTCAACCCCAAAACAGTTGTACTTTTAAGCATGTGAGGGTAGCATGTGTGAAGTTTGTGTAAGAAATTTTATAACATTTTTCTCCCGTACAAAGAGTTTTTTTGCTCTTATATGACTTCAGTTACATCCCTGAAGGGCCAGACAGAGGTTTTCTTCCACTGAATTCTGTTGATTTTAAACTGGGCCCATCAGAACAGAAGTTATATTAGTTTAAAAGCAACTTCACAGAAGAAAAATTAAGATAATACGAGGCCAGAGTTGCTTAAAAAAAAAAGAAATTAAAGGCTATGTTTTGTCTTAGATGGCTTGTGCAACTGACTTCAGACTAACTGCACCCTTTTATATGTGTTAGGCTGACAGTGCTGGGAAATTAGCCCAGGCCTTCTGACTTCTGGTAGCTTTCCTGACTGCTGGACTACAAACTCACATGACAGATTGCATCCAGCACAGTAGGCTGCAGAAAGTAGTTAA